AATTTGGTACTGGCACAAGAACAGACCCATAGACCAGTGAAACAGAATAGAGAGTCCAGATATTAACCCAAGCATATATGGTCAATTAATACATGATAAAGGAGCCATGGACATACAATGGGGAAATGACAGCCTCTTCAACAGCTGGTGTTGGCAAAACTGGACAGCTACATGCAAGATAATGAAACTGGATTATTGTTTAACTCCATACACAAAAGTAAACTCAAAATGGCTCAAAGACATGAATGTAAGTCAAAGGCCTAAAACCATAAAGCTCTTAGAAAAAACATAGGCAAAAATCTTTTGGGAATAAACATGAGCAACTTCTTCATGAACATATCTCCCTGGGCAAGGGAAACAAAAGCAAAAATGAACAAGTGGGACTATATCAAACTAAAAGGCTTCTGTACAGCAAAGGACACCATCAGGAGAACAAAAAGACATCCTACAATATGGGAGAATATATTCTTAAATGACATATCAGATAAGGGGTTGACATCCAAAATATATAAAGAGCTCATGCACCTCAAAAAACAAATAGCAAACAAGTCAATTAAAAAATGGGCAGAGGAGCCAAACAGACACTTCTACAAAGAAGAAATTCAGATGGCCAACAGGCACATGAAAAGATGCTCCACATTGCTAATCATCAGAGAAATGCAAATTAAAACCACAATGAGATATCACCTCACACCAGTTAAGATGGCTTACATCCAAAAGACAAAGAACAGCCAATGTTGGTGAGGATGTGGAGAAAGGGGAACCCTACTATGCTGCTGGTGGGAATGTAAACTAGTTCAACCATTGTGGAAAGCAGTATGGAGGTTCCTCAAAATGCTCAAAATAGACTTACCATTTGACCCAGGAATTCCACTCCTAGGAATTTACCCTAAGAATGCAGCACTCAAGTTTGAAAAAGACAGATGCACCCCTATGTTTATCACTGCACTATTTACAATAGCCAAGATATGGAAGCAACCTAAGTGTCCATCAGTAGATGAATGGATAAAGAAGATGTGGTACATATACACAATGGAATATTATTCAGCCATAAGAAGAAAACAAATCCTACCATTTGCAACAACATGGATGGAGCTAGAGGGTATTATGCTCAGTGGAATAAGCCAGGTGGAGAAAGATAAATGTGAAATGATTTCACTCATCTGTGGAGTATAAGAACAAAGAAAAAACTAAAGGAACAAAACAGCAGCAGATTCACAGAACCCAAGAATGGAGTAACAGTTACCAAAGGGAAAGGTACTGGGGAGGATGGATGGGAAAGGATGGATAAGGGGGAAAAAGGGACATTATGATCAGCACATATACTGTAGTGGGGGGCACGGGGAAGGCAGTACAACACAGAGAAGCCAAATAGTGATTCTATAGCATCTTACTGTGCAGATGGATAGTGACTGTAATGGGGTATGTGGTAGAGACTTGAGAATGGTAGAGACTTGCTCATGTAATTATACATAATGATACCAAAATAAAAAAATGAAATAAAGTATTTCTCAGGGAAAACAAACAAACAAAAAAACAAAAAAACATGCATTGTGGTAATTGGTCTGAGAGAACAAATAAGGTGCTTAGAGAGCACATAGCAGGCTGAATCCATCCCTTGGGTCTAGGACATCTTTCCCCACCACTTCCCCTTCACTGGGAACTTTCATACTCATCCTTCTGGATCCAAACTTAGGTGTCTCCTGTTTGAAGAAACAGTTTGAGGTGTATAGTAAGTGCTTAACACACACAAACGTTCGTGTGTTTTTATTTGTATTTAGGTAATAGTATTGTTTCAAAATTGTGCAATGCTTTCTCAATTTACCCAACAGTTGGATATTTACTATCACAATTACCTCACATTACTGATAATCGGCATTCTGATTATATTTTGATAAAAGCAAACAAGTTAACAAAACCGTTTATATATGTGTCAATTATTGTATATATTTATATAAGCAAGAAGAAAAGTATAGAAGCATATATACCAGGCTGTTAGCAAGGAGTAAATGGTCAACTTTGGATTTCTGCATCTTTGTGCTTTATAGATATTCATGGAATGGAGGAATAAGGACTGCTAATAATAGTTCAATGGGGGGCCTATAAGGTAGTTGCAGCCACTGACCCTTCAGGACTGACTGAATACCATCCAGCTCAAATCATACACCCTTATGTTTGTGTTTTATTTTAGCTACATTTGACATCAAGTTAACCTCCATGGTTTCATAAATGAATTAAAAATCAAGAGAGCATAAATAATCAATCCTTGTCCTGTCACCAACTTGCTTAATAGATTCTTATGCCATAATTTCCTCTTCTGCAAATTAGGAATAATAGACTTTCTGTAAGGTTAACACAATTAGGCTGGTTAAGAGGCACTACTATTTATGAAGTATTAGACAGTTGCTGAGTGTAAGTGAAAACTTCCTAATTTTTATTCTATGACATACATGTCAATTTGTGCTGTTATAGACAAATCTGTGCTTTATAAAGCACTGCTATGATCACCTTAAAGTTGAGTGTATTTGAAAAAATGTCACCTTTTTCCCATGACTTTTAAAATTCAATCTTCTACCTTTCTGGGTCTGGACGTTATGGGAAGATCTGGTGCAAGAAGAACCAAATCCTGGGCTAGTCCAACATAGAAGTTTTTCTATGAATATGCACAGCAGCCAGACTATGTCCTTGCACTCCCTATAAACAACACTTAAGTCACTAGAGAAATGAAGTAATGAACTCAACATTCAAGAGAAACCTCAGAGGGCCTTAGCCAAGCTCACATATTGCTATTAGCCACTGAGTTGGACAAGTAAGGACTGGGCAGCATCTGAGAGGGCTGCTGGGGATAAGGGGTGTGGCAAGGGTTTCCCAAAGCCACATTGATTCTGTGGATTTTCCACACAGACCACACTTAACAATGCTCCTTACTTCTCCCTCACAGTATATGATGTAGCCTCCTTCCTATGTGACTACAATGGCCTTCTTCTATCTTTAAAGTCAACTATTTTGCATTCACTGATACTCAGGCTTATATCCCTTGGCCATTTCTTCTAGACAAGGTTTCTAGAAAGAATAAAGAAAAAGAGGTACCGATGTGCTTTCCCCCAACTTGCCATTTACATCTCTCCTTTCTCAACAGTGCCACCCCCAATAGTCAAATTGTCTATTCTTTATAATAAGTTTTATCTTGCTTCAGTTTTTTCATCTGTAAAATGACAGTAATGAGGATATCTGACTTATATGGTTATTTTGAGGACTTAATAAGATAATCACTGTAAAATGCTTAGAATATTGCCTTGAAGAGAAATCACTCATTAAATCATAGCTATAATGAATATTAGCACTATTGACACTATTCAGTTATCATTCCACCTTTATTTGGTTGTGTTCGTAAGGATAAGATGTCTTTAGAGGTCTGACAGATGCTAAGAAATGCAGATAAAAGGGATCATTCATCAGCCTTAAAGTTGTGTTCAAGAAAAGCTCACCAACAGCCCTGAATTTCATTGCCTGTTCATACACAGTAGTCAAATAAGGAATTACTCTGTTCAATGCCTTGCTGGGAATCGGAAGTGCGGTGGTAGCCTTGGCCTCATATTCATGTGGGCAAAGCTCTTTAACATACTTTTTCAGAATGGCAAAAGCAGACACTTTCTCATCTCTCCCTGTTCCTTCTTGTGTACTTACTCTCCGTGACTGAAATTTTTCACCTCTTCCAAGCACAGGTTTGGAATGTACTTAGCACTGAAGGCCACATGTCCAAGATGAGATGAGCCAGCTTTTCTTTATTCTCCTAGAGTACTGGGACCTGGGATAGATGGCAAAGGGCTAGAACTTGGATAGATAGAAGCCTATGTTATATGGGCTGTTTAAATATTCATACAGCCTCTTTTGGCAGCTAACTGGGCTGAGAACTTTGCCCAGAAAAAACAGAGAAAAGATAATTACTGAATTTCATAGCATTCTAAAATGGCTGCTATGAACTGAAACCTCACACAGTAATTTTGGTTTGATCTCTTAGGCAAACATATTTTTTATTCAGTACAATGCAAGTGGTTAAATTCATTTCTAAGTATTGTTCTGCGTGTGTCATCAGGATTAGATACTTACTGACAGCAGTGCCTTAAAAACTTACCATACTGTCAAAGCCAGCTCTTTCATAATTACTGATGACTTGAAATAATAACTGACACATTCTCCTTACCATCAACAGATTTGCTTATTAGTAACACACGGTGTAAATTAGAAGCAACTAAGCTATAGAATGAATGAAGCAGATTGCTATTCTTGAGCACAGTGGCCTACAACTTGAAGACATTTCATTTAGTGCAATCAATTGACAGTACATGTACCTCATTGGCAGAGGTGAACACACCAAAAATGTAGATGTCTATTCATTGCTTCATTTAAACTGACATTTTCCCATTGTAATTAAGTTTTTTTGTTGCCCTAATTCTGGTTGCTAAAGTTTATTTAAATTGATTTCACAATTTCAGTAACAACATAAAAACAAACCTTGGCATTCTGCTGAACCTTCAATTACATCTTCAAAGTACTATCTATTTAGTGAAAATCTATTTTATTTCTTAACGCTATATCCACAAGTTCTGATTTTATCAAGTACACATTCTTTCAGCATGGCGTACAAAAATGTAAAAACACTCTTTCATCCATCCTCTCCTTCTTATAGTAGTGATCCAAAATGCAGAATAGGCACATTAAAAAGTTAAAGAAAAAAAGCACTTGGACTATCCATGCTCAGTGTATCACAGTGTTTCTAATGTTACATAAGAATTGGCCATGAGTAAATATCAGGTAAGTAAAGTTAAATAATCACTACTCTTTAAGTTTACTTCTAAGGAACTTTCTTCAAAATATTCATAAACTATAGTTAATTATTTGAACCATACAGGCATATATGTATCTAAATATATATGTGTACATACACATGTATAAGGTACGTATTCATGAAAAGTCTGTTTTTTCCTTTAATGTTTCAGATGTACATTACCAACACAATCAAAGCCAAAGGAACGAGACTTGCTAAGCCCGTTCTGTGTTTGGGATTAATGTGTTTGGCCTTTCTTACTGGACTCAACAGAGTAGCAGAATATCGAAATCACTGGTCAGATGTGATAGCAGGCTTTCTGGTTGGAATATCTATAGCAGTATTTCTGGTAAGTATAAATTTATTTGGATAGCATTGTGTTTTTAATTCACTTTTATAAGCACCTGTAAGAAAATACAAGTGTGGATCACTGAGTTTGTCTAAATGTGGTTTATCAAACGATAATATATATTTTGTCATTCATTTCTTCCTCCTCCCTCAGTTGTTCTGCCTAAAGGCAGGTTGGGGATGAAAAAAGTATAAATTCTGCTCTTCAGAGTAACAGAATATTTTTCAGATAAAATGGAAGAGGGCTAAAGTAATCTCCTTGAATAGTTTTTAACCCTCGGTTACCTGGATGTTGTTTAAATTTCCTCAGGGTACTTTGCATCCTGCAGTATCTAAAGCACCCCAAAGCACGCCAGGACTTCAGCCTAGTCCTCCCCGGGAGCCCCCATGTCACAGTGCTCGCTGACAGGTAAACCTCACTTGTGAGATGGACTGGTCCCCATCAGTAACTGAAAATCCATGGGTAGTTTAGAAGACAATACAATCTCAACTCAGATTTTACCAAGTGGTAAAGAGCACATGCGGGTACTTCTAATGAAGTGAATGTACCATATCTACTCCCATTATAAAATCTCCTTGGAATATTCCTGTAGGTTTGGGTTATTGGAAAATATTTTATCAGTCCAGCTTTAGAATTAATTAGTCAGTTCTAAGTATAGGTGTGTAGCATTTGACCCAGAAGGAAGATGTGTAGACTATAAACCAGAATATTTTTGTGCTAACACATTATAAGAAGCACTTTGTTTCCATCTTGATCATGTTTAAATTGCTTCTCATACTTAACTTCCCTCCCTCAGCTTCCTTTCCCTAGTTCATAACCTGTAAGCAAAAACTTATATGAACCTTCCCAGCTAACAAAGATTTGAATACGATTCATGTGCCAGAAACGTTAAACAGGTTATTTTTTCTAGGACCCCTGTGGTAAAGCGGTGGCCCCGCCCTCATCTCTGCTTTGCGCCCTGTGCTGCCTTTCTTGCTGATACCACTCGCCCTGATTCACAAGGTCCAGGGAAGAGATCACGGGAGATGCAGGCTCGCCCATCTCTCTCTCCCAGAGCTATCTTACAGTCTTATGGAAACTGGGGCCCAGGCTTAGGCCAGAAACTCTTCCTGGTTTTCTTACCACAGTTGGAGTAGGTTGAAATGGTAAAAATAAAATAAAACAAGCACCTTACATACACCCTAAGAAAATAGTCATAGGCAAGACAAAGAGCATTCCAGACATGAAAATTTGAAAACACTAGTGTCAGGTGTAACTGTGAGTCAGCTCCACAAGTCCAGAACATCTTCACTGGCATCTCATCAGCCTTCTTGCCTACCTTCTGTGGCTGTTGCCACCTTCCCTTTACTTCCAGTGAATATTTTGATGCCTTGCAAGACCAAACCTAGAAGCCTGGTGTATTTTCAAAACACTCCGTCCTGGCCCTTCAAGCATAAACACACACCCAGGAAAATGACCTTATGAAAAGGTCATGTGAAAATGATGCTTGAACTATGTAGTAACTCAGCAAGAATTTGTGCTTTCATTCATAGCCATTTGTGGGTGTGAGTGTGTGCCTATAGGCAACAGGTGCTGAGCCAAGAAGTGGGGATGCGACGAGGCTCAGGTAAATGTGACCTGTCTCCTGTGAGAATTATCATCTGCCTCAGGGATAAGACAATAATAGATTATTCCCTCAAACATTCGCTCCCTCGCTCCCTTCATAAAATAAACATTCACTGAGCCCCTACTATAATCCAGGTGCTGTGCTTCTTGTTGGGAGTAAGTATGTGAAGAGAGACAGTCCATGTACTTAAATAGATAGCAGTCAGGTGGGACAAGACAGACGCAGAGAGTTTTATAAAAGGGTTACATGTAATTCTAGATAAAGGAATACAAATACAAATATATATGAATAATAAAGGTTTGTATACTCAAGAGATCAACTCTGTTGGGATTAGGGACCATTCTGAAAGGAGAGGGGATAAATAAATTTGAAAAGTTTGTAAAGCAGACAGGTCTAGGCTGGGGTAAAAGAGATGAGGGGCAAAAAGCACAGTGTCTAGACATAAGAGTTTACAGAGACCTTAGTATAGTCTAGGCCAGGGACACAGCAGGGGCATGAGAGAGCGTGGCGTTCTGGAATGACACCAGCCATCCAGCGTGAGTGACAAGAGGAGGAGGGAGTGGAAAGCCACACTGGGGGAATATCCTGGACGGCCATGTATCTCAGAATAATCTGGTGATTGGGGACCATTGTCAGGGTTCAAGTGAGTTGGAACTGGTTAAATCTCAGCTTCTTTATGCACTCAGTTTGTTCCATTAAGCAATTTACTTAACCTTCTGAGCTTCAGGTTCTTCCTTTTTAAATAAGTTAGTAACAGCCTCCTTAAAGATCATAAGGATTTATAAAGGTTAAATGAAATAGTATATGTTCAGTCAATGGCCACATGAATGAACTGAAATAAGTCCTATAAATGACAATTATTTCCTTTCAATCCCTTTTATTCTATGATACAATTTGTGCATTGAAAAATATGTTTGCCGGAAGTAAAACAGGTGAGAATACAGAAGACAACTTATGCAGAACCAGGGAAATAAGATGGCACCAGTGGGCACAAAGAGAAGGGGGGGTAGCCTGGAGGTGTTTAGGAGGTGGAATGGTTGGAGCTTGATGGAACACTGGAAATGATGGAGGCAAAGAGAAGGAGGAATCTGATGATTCCCAGGTCTCTCACTGGGGCAACTAAGTAGGACATTTATTTTGAGCAGTGACTACAGCTCTGGCTTGCAATATCCTGGGGTGCTTCCAGTTATCTCAGTATGTGCAGAACTCTAAAATGATCCCAGAATAAAATGAACGTGAACCTACTCCAAGCCTCTGTGCCTTGGATACGGGCATCCACAGCCCCATCCCTCAGAGTCAATGTCTAGCGTCTGCCTTTGACTCATTCTCATTTATCCCCCACATCCTGTGATTCACCTAGTCGCAGTTCATTTCCACTACAAAAGCATCTCTTCCATGTTGTATTTCTTCACCACTTTGATGCTGACCTCTCGGTTTGAGAGATCTGTGCTTCTTACCTCTATTGTATCTATAGGTTCCTAGCTGTCTCCTCACTTCAGCCTCTTCTCCAAATAATGCCATTCTGCTTTTTCACATTATAATATAATTCATTGCTATAACAAAACAAAAAGCTAAACAAACTTAAATCCAGATACTTCCACTGGACGTCTGGGATCCTCTGTAATCTGGCTATACCCTTCCTAGCCTCATTTATTTTTTCCTCCTTACAGTGAAATCCTGTGTTTCAAAGCCATTCCTATATATATGTTAGAGAGCAAAACTGGGGTCTGGGAGTCAGGCAACCTAGACTTGAATCCTGCCTTTGCCACATGCTGGATGTGTGACCCTGAACAGGTCAGTTAGCCCTCATTATTCCTAAAACAGTGAGGGCTTCCTGACTATTTAAAATGGCTACCCCTCCTTGAGGACGCCTTTCCTCTTTCTCTATTCACTTTCCTCCATAGCATGTGTCAGCTTTTATTATACCACATATAATTTTTTTTTCTGTCAAACCCACTAGAAAAGTAAGCTGCTCATGGAGAGAAGGCATTTGTTTTCTTTACTGTGTATTCCCAATACAGGGTCTGGCACATAGGAAGTTCTCAGGAAGCAGTTGATGAATGAATGAGAACTGTTTTATTTACTTCCCAGAGCTCTTTTGAGGGATAAATGAAACTACATATGTAAAAAGTGCAACCCAGTGTGTGGTACAGAGAAGGCCCTGTATCTTGATGAGTATTCAAATCCTTTACCCACTTGAGATTTTTCTCAGAAAGTCCCAGCTTCCCCAGGAAGTGTCCCTGACTACCTGGTTCTTCCATTTTTTCCCTGTATTTCCACTGCCCTTGAAATATGTCCTGTTGCAATCATACAAGGAATTTCTCTTATCCCATGTGCATTTCCTTAAATGAACAAAATTATCATGCTTAGGAAAACACAACACAAATACCAGCTGAACAGTAGTTGAAGATTGGTCAATATTACTTTATACAAATCTATGTCTCAATCTATTTCCAGAAAAGATGTATATTACAGTGTCAGGTGGAATAGTTCAAGTTTCCTGAGCCACAACAAGGGCTTGTCATGTTATTACATGCAATATCATGGTGACAATTTGAGTTATATGTTACTCTTTGCTACATTCACTCAGTCCTCACAACAGCCCATTGAGATGTAGTTATTATTGTCCTCATTCTCCAGATAAACAGAACAGATGTAGTTATATTAAGTAGCTTGCCAAGGCTCACAAAGTTAGTACATAATAGACCCCAAGATTAAAACTCAGACCTGTTTGACCCCAAAGCCCATGCACTTAACCCTATGCCACACGGATATCTTATTTACCATGGAAAGAGGGAAAATTATCACAGATGGATCAGATTATTTATTACCACTATGGAAAAAAGATACATATGTAATGGTAACTTCTTGGTATAATTTTTATAGGAGAAGGTAGAATTAGACACATGAAAGCCACTCATGTAAAAATAGAATGTTTCAAAGGAGTGCCACTTTAAATTATATAGGAACATCAGAAAATTTGAGAATTTTTGGCTTAGATGTATGCTCATTCATTAATCTATTCATTCACTGTGACATTAGAAATACAATGGTGAGCAAAAAAGAGATGGCGTCTCTGCTTTCATGAACGTTACAACCTTGGAAGAAACTCAAATCCACCAAAGTATCATGCTAATGGACATGCCCTTTCCTACAGTGATAGGTGCGTAGGTGAAAAGAATTGTAGGTCCATGTCCATGTGAGCAAATGCACACACAAAAGCAGCCTGAGGTCAGGGGAGGCTTGCGAGGAGTAGTCCTGAGATGAGCTATCATTGATAAGCAAGATACAGGTCCAAGGACAGTGGAGATGAGTGTCCCACACAAAGAAAGTGGAAGGGAACAGAAGGTTTCTGGGAAACTGAGAAAAGAATGACTACAAAGTTTATAATTTGGGGCAGAGTTTACATTTTAAGAGAAATGGGAAGCCAAGCTACAAAATGGTTTGAAGGAGGATGACATGATACGGTTTACATTTTGGAAAGATCATTGTCACATCATTGTAGACATGGGCTGGAGGGAGCCAAGCCTGGATTTAGGGAGACGTGGGAAAACTGGGCAGGGATCCAGGCAAGTGATGGTGATTGCTTAGTCTTTGGAGTTGGTAGTAGAGATAAAACAAGCAGATATAAGAAATCAGAATATTTAGGAAAGAAAATGGACCAAATCAACTGATTGGATGAGTATAGGAGGTGTAAAGGGTAAATCCAAGTTTTCAGCCTTGGGCAGCTGCATCAAGGGAGTGGGAGCTTGGGGGATGTTGCCTTTCCTTGGGAAGGTCCAGAAATAGATCAAGTTTTGGAATGGGGTCAGGAGATGGGAAGATCTTGGGTTTCATTTTGAACATTTGATGAATTTTTCATAACTTTGACAACCAAAGAAATGGAGTTAACTTGATTATCTATTGCAACCTCTTCACTTTCAAATTGAAAAAATAGACCCAGGGAACTGTCCCAGAACATACAGACCCAGAATGAAAAACCACATCTACTGTTTCTACCTATGAGCATTTTCCCATAGCAAATCAATTCCATCCTTGTGAATGTTAGCAGAAAAGACATTAAATATTTGAATGTGATTCTACGGAAGATTTGGTAATTTCCTTCCTTACAATTTAAATAATAATAGTAATGAAGAATAATCATTATGCTAATAGATACCACTTAATGAATATCTGCTGTGTACTAGGTGTTTAAATATTTCACATAAGAATTCTCAGTTGCTTCAGTGGTATTGTCCTGACCCTCAATTAAAGCAGAGATATAACTGATATGACCTTTCAAAGAGTTTTCTAACCTAAGGAATATAAAAAGCAATTATACTAATTTCAGAAGCCCATATTAACTCTAGATGAACTTTTCTTCATCTCATGATTTCCATGTCCATATGGATAGTTATTTCATTTCAACAAATTCAACTTCAGAAGAATTTATAGCAAATTGTTTTTTTACATCTGTTCAATTTTCCATTATTATAATATTAAAGAAAAGGAAAATGTGTGTGTATGTTTATGTACACTTTATGAAATGGGTGTGAAACTACTTGCTTGTGTTGTTGTTGGCCAAAATTCTTGATTATATCCTTTGTATACTAGGCAGTGGTCAGTTGGCAAACCGCAGCCTGTAAATGAAGTTTGGCCCACTGCCTGATTATGTAAAAAATGTTCTGCCTGATTATGTAAAAAATGTTATATTGGAACACTTACATACCCATTCATTTATGAGTTGTCTATGGCTGTTTTCACATCAAGATAGCAGAGTTGAGTAGCTACTGTGCAAATATTTACTATCTGCCCATTGCAGACTAAATTTGCTAACCCTTGCTCTAGAGTAATCACTATCTATTAATTTTTTGTGAGGGGCATCATCTCCAAACCATGACCAACCCCTTACTTTAAAGATGTTGATGGCAGTAAAAAAGCTGAGGAATCAAATTATCAGGCTTTTGATCTATGCTTTGATCTGTAATTATTCAGGAAAGTGGAAGGATAGTAAGTTTATAACAATTTTCAAGGAAATACTTTTCTGGGATAAAATCTCACAGTGTGTGTTATTATCTTGGAGATGTGTAAATTTTATTTAAAAGCAGAAGAATAACCAAGATCTAATTGGTCTTTGAAAATATTCCATAATGAGCCCTATCAAAGAAAAGGCTTTCCAATGAAGCATTTGTGAAAATATACAATGTAAATGTGTAATTATATATGAAGTATTTATTTTAAAAAAATGAATGTTAGGCTATAACTGCAAGTAAGCTCTATATTTTGGTTGATAATAGAATATAAAACTTATATTTAAGAATATCTTAGTTACTAGTTAATATAAGTGAATAAATAATTTTCCTATGTTGTTTTAATTCATTATTTCTTGAAGTATGATCCACATGTGTCAGAAGCTTCTGGAGTGCATTTTAAAAGTGGTTACTCCTGGGCCCCATCTTTCATCTACAAAATCAGAATCTCTAACGGGGGTGGTTAGGAATGTGCATTTTTAACAGTGCCAGAACTTTATTTTTATGCACATTAGCATATGAGAACCTCTGGTTTAGTTCAAATTCTGTCATATCTGGGATATAATCAATTGAAACAAGAGTCAGTTTCCTTTATGTAAAAGGTCTACTATTTCAATAGTAGCCCAGGAAACTGTTGTTGAAAGGCCAGGTATATATGGGATATGATAATAAGCAATAGACTAGGTTAATTAAAGGGATGCTACTAAATTTGAAAGTGTCAATTGTAGAAGGCTTGTTATGAATGTAATGATTTTGAAGCAATGGGAAATAATTAGCATTTAAATTAAATTGTAGGTTAGCCACATTAGGGAAAGGTTAGCTTGCTATGAATTTTTATAAGGTTATGATGTTATTTTTGGATTGATTTGAGCATTGTCTGTAACATAACTAAATGAAAATTTTGGAATAATAAAATTGTCATTATTAACTGAGCTACATATGAACTGATGCATTTTCTTGAGCACATCTGCACTAGAATAACTATCAAAATGTATACAAGCTCAATTTGGATGTAAAGTTACATACATGTAATATTGAAGTAATTTTAATACTTACTGATTAGACTTATTAAGCTACTCAAAAGAGTCATCATTGTGGGGAGCATGGCTTTGCTTTAACTGTATTTTTCTCCTGGAATTTTAGGTTGTGTGTGTCGTAAATAATTTCAAAGGAAGACAACCGGAAAATGAACACCTACACATGGATGATGTGGCACAAATGCCAATGATCAGTATCCCTCGAGTAGAAAGTCCCTTGGAAAAGGTAACATCTGTACAGGTGATTCATAAGTTAAATTTTAAAATGTGATTGTTATCTAGAGCAAATGAATGATCATTCCTGGGAGTTCCTGCAGAGTCATTTTTGATTTACCGAAACAAGCTCAGAGTCGCATGTGGTGTTTAGCAAGAACTTAGTCACTGAAGACATAATCTTTGAAAAATGCTTATCGCATTGAAAACATTTCTTTGAATCCTCATGCTAAAAGCTGAATACCTATACATGGAAAATGTTCTGTCCTTTTCCATAGATTCAAGATAAGGAACACTGTGCAAGCATGTCACACATAAGAAAAATATTCAGATAATTTTATTTGAGAATATAGGCATTTTTTTTTCATGAAATAGAGTCCATTTTCTCATGCTCCATTTATATGAGAAACTACTTAGTATAATGCCTGTCACATTATCAGTGCTGAGTAAATTTTGAGGAATCTCTGTGTATAAGCATTTGGTAGCAGGAAAACACCAGTCATGTTCTAATCATTGAGGCACTGGGGGTCAAGTTGGGCTGAATGGAGCCAGACAGAGAGCACTCTGAATGGCAGGTCAAGGCCTCACTGGGCATGGCAGTGAACATGGAAGCTAGGTATTTAATATAAGATTTTCTGGAGACTTTGACAGTAAGGCAATATTAATTAAATGATGATGCAGTTATGCACATTTTTAATTGTTAAATGACTGCTCAGAGTATTACCCATGGCTTCTCCTCAGCCCCACCCATGTCCACATTTTGATCAATGTTTAGATGAACAGTTCAGTTACGTGTTGATCAGGGGTTTAGATGGTATGATCTAAAGATCAGTGAGGGTTAATTAATACATTGGCTGAAAGAATAATAGTGCTTGAGAGATTACAATAAGATGCAGTTAACAATTAACTAGAAATAAAGAAGGTGTTTTGTTTTTGGATTTTAAAAAGTTCTATTGGGTAAGGTGGGTCTAGGTGAACTGTACAAATGATAAAACCTCAGAGGGTATAGTAGTTTACCACTCAGCACACGTTGACAGCATATGGCTGCCAGGAGTTAATATGATCCTAAGTCCCTCTTAGGGAAAATGACATCCTGAACGAAAGGATTGACGTTTTGCTCTTCTCAGACCGGCTTGGAAACCTGTTGACTGCTTGGCAGTAGTTTAAAGGTAGATGTTGATAAAATAGAACATTCAGCACTGAATAAACATTTGTTAAATGAGCAAATGAATGTGTCCAGGATGGTGAATGGACTCAAAGTCATGGATTGTGAGATACTGTCTAAGGAACAAAAAATGACTAAAGAAAAAGGAAATTTATGGAAGAAACAATAGCTTCCCTTTAATATCTAAGAACTATTGTGTGGCAAGGGGATGCGATTTATTCCTCATGGTCTGAGAGATCACAGTGAGGGTGAGAGAAAAGAAAGTGTAAGACAGTAAGTCATGTCTGGAAAGAAGAAAAAAATTTCTAAAAATGGAATGACTTCCTTAAGGGCAATGAAGTTTTCTTTATTGTAAGGATTGGAGAATAGCTAAATAATCACTTATTCATAACTCTGTGGAGGGAATGCAAGCATTCTGGTGAGGATATAGGTAATAATAACAACAACAATAATAATAATAATAGCTACCATTTAGTAATCATCCTGCATTTGTCAAGTACTATGCTGATTGCTTATGTAAATTCCACAGAATACTTTTATGCTCTACAAATGCTATTTCACTTCTTGCAACAGTTATTTTAAGCTTGATATCCTTATAGTGGCAAAGGCTGCTAATATTCCACCAGTATCCCTTCTCCCTTTCTTCCTTTTAGTAACTGAATTCCCTAATCCAATTTTAGTCACACCTATGACTGTCAGCTAATAGTGTATATTTCCCAGCTGCAACTAAGTTTAGAGCAATGGAATGTAGGTAGAAGGAGTAAGTGCAATCTCTGGTTCATCATTTTGAAGATTCTTGTCCTGGACATTCTCTACCACTTTTTGCCAGGGGAAAGGTAAAGACTGGAGAAATCTTTGTGGTTTTAAGAAAACTGATCCACCTTGACAGCCTGAGTTTCTGGGTGAGCTCATGGATCAGTCCACATAACACAGCCTAGATGGTTATGAGAAAGAAACTCCTTTCCTCTCTGAATCACTGAATGATTTTTCTCTTTTCTACAGTGTTTAGCTGATGCCCTATTACATGCAATAAATTTCCCTATTGTGCAGTTAAGAAAACTGACCTGCTAAGTGGCTAAGGTATTTGCAAAAGTCCACATCATTGATAAGCAGCCAAGAAAAATTATACAATGTATTTCAAGATACATGCATATATGATAAAATATGCTTTGAAAAACTGAATATGCATAAAATTTAATCTTCTTTAATAAAAATAAAGGTAGAAAGCAGCATAATTTAGGAATAGATCTTGAACATATTCAAGAAAGTGGTCAGGGTAACAGAGTCTTCATTTCATATATCTCTGAAATTAACTTGAACAGTAATCTCAGTCTTTTGCTTTTTAACATATTTATTTGCATAAGCATTCTTTAGTAGCCTAACATTGTCAAATATTTTTGTATACCTTTACATCATTCTATATGTTAAATAATTAAAAATTCCTGTTGCTGAATTCATGTAAATTTATTTTTAGCTACAGTGAGTTTTAAACTATTGAATGGTGAAGGTAAAAATATATTCTATTAGAGTCCATAGATTGCAAGAGATCAGTGTTTATTAACTTATTTCTTTCCTTAATTTTTTTGTTTATGAGAAATTCACATGCTTTGTTTTCACTCTGGTAGTTAGGGAATAAAGATGATTCGAACCTGAATCAATTCTCCCCTTTACCCGCAGAGTTAGTTCATTAGCTCACACCCTGCTGAGCTCCGACTTTGCTCTCTGCTCTTTTCATTCCTGTTCCCAGGCAGCAGGATGCTGTCTGCGCTGTGTGGTCTCCTGCACTCACAGACCACGGGAAGATCATAAGTTGAGGTGCTAGGAATTCATCTCAGGCTTCCCTTTGGAGCTCTGCTGCTGAGGACATTGATTTGTGCTCAACAACAAGAAAGGGAGGAAGGCTGTCACTTAAGAGACGCCCACATAGCATCTGTTCCCTTTGGAATAAGGAGTATTTGGAGTAAATATACTGCTTTTCATCATAGTTTACAAAGGGAAAGAAGCGAATGCAAAATTACTGCCGATGATTTGATTTTAATAATTGGTAGTTGAAGAATGACCTTAGATTCTTAAGAAGTTTAAATGGTCCCCTGAGGAAAGCAAGAGAGCTTGGTGTGAAAGTTTGTTAGCCAGTAGTTTTAGCATGATTATGCAAGCTACCATTTCTCCTTGTCAGTGTTGTGTGAAGAAGGCAAAGGGTTTCTTTTAGAAGTTATATACTTATATAACCTCATGTTCAAAGTACATGTTTGATAAACTGTAAGCTACAGAGTAATTATAGCATGCAAGCATTCTTTATTTTTATGCCAGCAATTTATCCCTTAATTAGAGGGAGTTTGTCGTATAGTTAATTACCAGAGTTTATGAGGAAAAGTCATGATTTTTCTGAAAACTAAGTAAATGAACATTCATTAAATTTGGTTTTATGAAAAGAATTAATCATCTGTGGAAACTGGCACATCATATCCCAATGTCCACTAAATATTTAAGTTACAGCTGTTGTAGTATCAGATCATGAAAAGTTTAAAAGTATATCAGTAGTGAATTATTACATTAATTTAGGCAAATTCCTACCATGGAATCCAGTACATTATAGTGTAATGTTTCTGCTCACAGGTTCTAGAGGTAGACTGGCTGGGAATTTTGGACAATTTTGACCTTGGGTAGCTTACTTAAATGCTCTGTGACTCAGTTTTCTCATTCATGGAATGGTTGCTACCAGAGTTCAGCAAACTAATAATCAAGCACTTAGAACAGTGTCTGGAAGGTATGAAGCCCTGAATTATTGCCAATTAGGATTATTATGACTATTTAACAGTTAAAATGGATAAGGTAAATCAAGATGTGGAAAGTTTTCTGATACATACTGTAAAGTGTTTTTTTTTAAGCTATACATAAAATTTGTTTATAATGAAGCCTGTTATGTAAAATACCATACGAGATATTTCTCGCTGATAGGATAGAAAAGAGCACATAGATTTAACAGAAAGAGACAGACAGAAGGAAAAAGTAACTACAGACACCAGTCTAAGAGCAATGCTTAAACCTAAGGAGGCAACTAAAATTGTGAACCTGATTCATTTTCTTCCTTTTTTCCTTTCTCTATTTCCTGCTCTATCTCCCTTTATTCCTTCCTTCTTTCCTTCTCTGTTTCCTTCCTTTTCTCTTTTTTTTTCTTTTCTCCCTCCCTCTCTTTTTCTTTGTATAATGAGGCTATATTCATGAGTAATTGTGCAACTAAAATAACTATAATTTCAAAAAATTATTCACTTTTCTTAACCTGCTTTCTAAGAAGGCCCTGGTTATGCTTCTTCATATTGATCGCCAATATGATCAGATTATCCCAAGTCCCTTGGAAAAATTCCCACAGAGTGATTTCAATCCCATGCTCTTTCCTTGTGACTCACATGATTCTTTGAAAGTGTTTGGTTTATTTTGTCTCTGCCAGATGAGGCATGGAGACCTTAGCTGTAGCTCCCATGCATTCTTTCCCTCACACTCAGGATCTAGCTTCCCTTGGCATAACTGCAGCCATCCGCAGCTCAGGTTCCATCTGTCCTGGCACCCTGCCTCTCATTCATAGAATCCACACAAATCTCACCCACTCAAGGCCCCAAGGAGCCAACTTCTTCATAGATCACACCACCTGTCTTTTCAAACTCATCCTTTCTGACTCCTGCCTTCAAGGATGCATGCATCCCGAACAAAAGCTTCAGGGTGCCTCCACAAACAGGAAGCTCCCAATTACTCTTGGGAGTCCACGAAACCAAGGTCTGACTTCCCAAAGAAGTGGAGGTGGAAGCGTTTTCAAATTCATTATCTTAACTTCCTGTATTAGCAAGAGTAAAGCAGGAGTTAATATC